AGACTTGCCACCACCCAGCCCTCTTCCTAAAGACTTGCCACCACCCAGCCCTCTTCCTAAAGACTTGCCACCACCCAGCCCTCTTCCTAAAGACTCTCCACCACCCAGCCCTCTTCCTAAAGACTCTCCACCACCCAGCCCTCTACCTAAAGACTTACCACCACCCAGCCCTCTTCCTAAAGACATACCTGTTTCTCAGGAGCAAAAGAAAGTTGATGAAGTGCATGCTATGGAGCTCTACTCTACAACAACTGAGCTTCTACCAAGGGAGGAGACAAAGCCAGATTCTGTAGAGGAAGAGTTAACCATACAGAGGAAAGATATCTCTCCTGTAGAGGGAGAAAAGGAGCTTCTGGCAAAAGATATAACTGGTGAGAAGGCCTCATTTCAAGAAACAGATGAGGAAGAGGATGAGGAAGACTATGAGGAGAGAGATATCAAGGAAAGTACAAAATCCAAATTTCTGGAAGAGAAAGAAAGCACATTTCTGGATGAGGAATATACCTGTGAGGCTAAATCTCTAAAAGAAGAGAAAATTGAGGAATTCCCAGTATCTATGACTAAAAACATCTTGTCAGAAAAAGAAAAGGAGCAAGAGCCAGAGAAAAGTTTTGAATCACCCTACCTTAAAACCACACAGGCCAAGTCACCTGAAAGACATGCAGCATCTCCTGTGGACCATGAAGCAAAGCCACAGGTAGTATACTCAGATGAAGAAGAGGAAGAAGAAGACGAAGAAGATGAAGAGGATGCCATCTGCATGGGAGGCGCAGGGTCTAGGCCTTTGTCACTTGAGGCAAGCAAAATAGATTTCATGTCTGATGATTTGCCATCTGTTCCTTCCTCTGACAAAGTTCAGCCTGATCAGTTTCAACCAGAAAAGAGAAGTGATTCCTATGCAACTTCTGCTTTGACAACTGATGTAAATATGGTTGATTTCTCTAGCAAAGACTTAAAGGCACAAGATCTGACTGATGCCGAAGACCGGTTGACTTATTTGCAAGGTAGAGACATCTCACCCGAACCAGAGGAAAAGGTTGTGTTGTCTAAGGCAGAAGAGATTATAGCAGTACCTTCTTGTACAGACATCTCTACCAGCAGCACCTCGGTGATCCCTGAATCTGTTCTTCATGCTTCCACTGCTGAGAAGACCTCTGTGGATTCAGTGCTTTTTGGTGCAGAAAGCCAGAGCAGCACAGAGCAAACCTCTCCTGATGAAACATCCATGCCTCCCCTTATTCAAGGCAAAGCTGATGACCATTATTCTCTAGATGAGCCAGCAGTAAATATAACCAAAGATGAAGAAAAACCAGGGAAGGAGGCAAAACGGGAAATGGAGGGTGAGCGTGAGGCAGCATCTCCAGGTCTCCCCCCAACATCTTCATTCTTCATCCCAGAAAAAGACCAAGTAAAAAAGACAGTTGAAGACAAAAAAGAATCCTCTCAAACAATGGAGCTGCATTCTCCTAAAGACCAAGAAAAACAAGACCTGTCAAAATATTCTCCTGAAGAAGAAAAACCAGCAACAAAAGTGGAGACATGGGACTTAAAGGAAAGCTTCCAGTACTCCATGGGTGAAGATGAGGCTTTAGGCATCCACTACGATGACAATAAAACAGCAGCAGAGAAAGAGCTGGACAAATCCCCAGAAAGAGCAGAAACTGTGGATGTGTTCACGAAGGATGAACAGCACAGGGAAGAACCAATCTCATTCAGCCGAGTTGATTACCACACAGAAGCGTATGTAGAACCAGGGAAAAGTGTTCATTTTGGTCTTTTTGACTTAGAAAGGGAGAGCATTGCTGGAGAACTTGGAGAAGATCGTGAAAAAGGCCAAGAAGAGGAGCATGAGAGGGAGGAGAGACAGCCCACCCCTTTTGTGGTTGATAAGAGCTTTACATACACTGAGATTTATGACAATAAACAAATGCCAGATATGGAGCCCTCTTCCTCTGCCCTTAGTCATATGGAGCAATACACTGATTACTTGGAGAAGGAAGTGCCTTTGGAAAAAGAGAAGGAGGCTGATCAGAAAGATCACAGTCCTTCTTCTCATCCAGTTTCACCAGAAGTCAAGGATAAGGATGGAATGTCTCCTAAAGAGGAAGAGACCCTTTTGAGTGCACAGAGTGAAAAAGAGTTGTCTTCACCTTTGTGGACTCAGACTAAACTGGATGAAAAATCTCAAACTGCCTTGTCAGATTTTGATGATGTTCCTGCAAAACAGTCCATGGCTAAGAAGGATGAAAAAGTGATTACAGACCAAGACAAGGAGAAACAGTATACATCTGAGGCAGAAAAATCAGAATCTCCTTCTAGTCAGTTTTCACTGGAAGAGAAGGAGCTCTTTTCTCCTACCGCTCAGCCAGACGACAAGGACAGTCAAGCTAGCACAGCCTCATATAATGAACCTTCAGTTCAGCACCTGGATGACAACATCCTTGCATCTGATTATGCTTGCAAAAGTATGGCTGGTGCCAGTAAATCAATGATGACCTACTATGAGAAGGAAGAGGCAATTGAGAGGGGTGAAATGAGATTAATGATGGAAGAAGAGCAGGAGGACGAAGGAGAGGAGGAAGAAGAGGTGGGAGAAGAAGAGGAGAGTGCTAGCGACTCAGATTTGGAGAAAGGTGCTAAAGAAAAATCAGAAAAGGAATCCAAGGCTGCATTCTCTGCAGCTGCTTTGGAATATTCATATGAGAGCTTCACAGAGAAAGACTCAGTGTTTCCAGGGAAGGAGGAGGAAAAGAAACAAGAAATCTCCTGTAGTGAACTAGACTACAGCTTTGATATACAAGGAAAGCCCTCCACTTCTGCAGTGTTTGAACCTTCTCCCAGCAGCAGCCAGAAGGCAGAGGTAGAAGAATTTCTTCAGAAAGAAGTGAGCAGTGCATCTTCTCTGTTCTCTGGCAGCTACACTGAGATCAGACAAACCGAGGCCAAAGGATTTTCTTCTGGGGTTGAATACTCCTATGATGAGGTTAGGAAAGACTCCTTCCTTGTGAGAGAGCTGGAAACACAAGACCAGAAAGACAAGAGCCCTGGACCTGATCATCTTGGGCTCTCCTTGACTTCCAAGACAAGTGAAGATAAATTCTTCCAAAGTGAGAAAGATCTTGAATTTGAAAAACAGAAGACTCCTGACCTACTGAGTAAAAAACTGGGGGATTCATTCACATCTGGTTTTGACTATACCACCACATCTGCAACTTCATATTCTTCTTCCTCATCTTACAGTTATTCCTCTTCAGCTTCTGCATCTCTCTGCACTTACCGTCCATTTGGAGAGGAACTGGAGGCTGCAGCTGCCACCTCTGACACACTCTTTAAAACTGATCTCGACAGTACTGGCTTTGAATACTCCTCTTTTAAAGAGGAGCCTTCCTTAATCATGGAATCCCCTTTCTCAAGTGCAGGAGGGATGGTAAAAGATGAGTACCTGGAGGTTTCTGAAAAGCTGGTTACAGCCCCCACAACTGCTGAGTCGTCCTCCAGTCTCACGCGATTTTCTCCCCTCAGTCCCTTTGAAGAAGTCAAACCCTTCCCCCCAATGTCTCCTGCTGCAGATGAATTAAAAAAAGAGCAGGTTAGCTTGACAGACACCACAACAGAAAAGGAACATCATCTTGACACTTCCTATAAAGCTGATTGGGCAGATGAACCAGTATTATCTGTGGGGCCAGGAGCATCTGCCCCTTACTCCCTTTTGTCACAGTCCATCGAAAAAGAGACCACAGCACGGAGTCTGTTTGATGTCTCTCCATTGCAGCCAGCAGATTCCACTTCCAAACGGTTCATGGAAGAGATGGACGCTGCTGAGGAGGACACTTATTTCTGTGAGATGGAGCAAACCACTTTACCGTGTCGGATCGAATGCCAAAGAATTCCAACAGCTGAACCAGCTGAGCAAAAAGCAGTTATGGCAGCCCCAACTGAGGCCATCTCCCCCTCTCTTACCTCGGCCAGCCCACTCCCAGATGTGCTGGCATCATTTTCTGCTCCACCAACACAGCCTGCTGCACAGTCAGCAACTGCAAATGGGCCCACAGAAGTTAGCATGAGCCCACCAGCAGCTCTCTATGGAGTGACAGATGCTACCTGCACAGGAGCAGCAATACTGGAAAGAACAGAGAAGAAGGAAGAGGAAAAAGCTATGGAGGAGAAGAAACAAAAAGAAGACGAAAAGAGACAGAGCTGCACACTTGAATGGGAACCACAACAACAGCAACAGAGAGCAATGGTATCTCATCCACATTCCCGAGAGGAAGACGACTATGAGGATGATGATGAGAGGGAGCCAGATCGTCCAGCCCGCCCTCTCTCCTTGGCCTCAGGCGATCAAACCTTTCACTCACCGTTCTACCCTGAAGAGCTTATGAAAGCAGAAGAGGATTCTGAACAAGTCCCTCCAGATGTCTGCTTGGGGGCTGCCTCATCTTACTCTCCGTCAGCATCTGTTAGATACTCCTCCTGTGAGTACAAACACCGTAAAGGAGAGCTCTCCCCATCTTTCATCAACCCTAGCCCACACCAACTCTCTAGTGAGGAGGAGGAAGAAGAAGGGAGTGACCAGTCACAAGATGGTGATGACAACCAACAGCAACAGCCATCAGTCAAGCGGAGATCCCACAAACAGCAGCGTCACCACACTCTGCATCATGCTCACCATGGAGATAACAATGGCAGTCAGTCGCATCATCTCCCTGGTGCCATGGCAGCTGGCCTAGGGGTAGCTGGTGAGGAAACCCCTCCAACCTCAGTTAGTGAATCTCTGCCTTCACAGTCTGACTCTGATGTGCCTCCTGAGACTGAGGAGTGCCCATCAATTACTGCAGAAGCCAACCTGGATTCTGATGAAGATGCAGAGTACTTGCCTGTAGACAAATCTGCTGCGGTAGGTGGAGGAGGCAACCATCACACATCCTCCTCCAGGACATCAGACAGAGCTCATGACCCCCCACCTGCTCCCATGGTAGACCCTTTCCCTCAACCCCCACATCCTGACGTATGTATGGTTGACCCAGAGGCACTGACCATGGACCAGAACCGCACAGATAAACTGCTCAAGAAGGACACAAAGACTAACAAAGGCCTGCGGAAGACACTTGGAAAGCCCAAGTCAGCCTCACCTGGCCGCAAGGGAGAAACCAGGGTCAAGAGATCCCCCACCCCTGCCAAGCAGGCTTCCAAAGACTCATCTGAGAAGTCTCAACGAACTGCCTCTGTGAAAAAGAAGGAGGGAGAGAAGGCTTCTAAACCACCTCGGGTGTCTGACATTCAAGGATCTCGAGGAGAGGAGAGAGACGAGGTTTCCAGGTCCAGCCAGAGTCACAATCCAAGCAAGGGCCTTGTCAATGGAGTCAAAAGCAACACAGGTACTGTTTACGTACTGATTTATTGAAGAAAAAGCCTGATAATCTTTTTGTAGGTTCTTTAACAATGTTCACAAGCTATTATTACTGCTGCAGGCCACAATCACTATATAATTAAGAGCATTACGTCTCTAAAAATAGTTGCCCTATACAAAGTAGAGGATCTAAAGAAGGAGCAACTAATCCCTGTAGCCTTTTTCTTGGAATTCTTCCACTTCACCAGTGATATCAAGATTTTTTCTCCCCCAGTATAAATCTATATTTAAAGGTAATAAGTACACATTAACAAAGTTCTTTTGAGGAAAAGTTTGACAGTATAAAATAATCCTAGCTCTTAATGATCTGTCAGTCATAAATTCAACCTGGAAGTCTAAGGTTCATATCCAAGTCCAAGCCCCATTTGACCCAGCCCATTTATTTAATTGAATTGATGGACATTTATTCTATCTAGGAGTACATCACAAATCCAGCATTGCTGTTCTTGCCCTCATAGGATCCAGCTCTCAGAAGTCCACTTCCGGGGCGCCCCCTGGACCCCCAATCTATGTGGATCTAGCCTACATCCCTAACCACTGCAGTGCCAAGAACGTGGACCAGGAGTTCTTCAAGCGCATCCGTGCTGCTTACTATGTGGTGAGCGGGAATGACACAGGCAGTGGAGAGCCCAGCCGCAGCGTCTTGGATGCCTTGCTTGATGGCAAGGCTCAGTGGGGCTCAAACCTGCAGGTAACTCCACTTCTCCTGAGATCATTAGTCTGCAGTATTCCTTAAGTGACTGCTGTTCATTCTAACATAAAAAATGGCTTCCCAGGAGCTCTCACTGGCACAGCCACCAGTTTAAGAGCTGTTTGCTTGATGGCCATACTCTTTCATACATGATGTGCACATCAGTGACTGTCAGAATAGTTGTGTAGACAATTCTAGAGTTAAAAAATTGAATTATTAGCAATAATCAAACTAAACAAGACTCCGCCATCTTCCTGCTTTTAGGTGTCTGTGCCTGTTGCTTAATAAGTCGCTGACTATCTGCTTTATATGAAAATAGATATGCCATCTCCTCATTTACTGGAAACGCAAAAAGAAAGGAGGAAAAAGAAAGGAACTGTGATGAGGCAGCAAGAACACTCTGGCATTGAAAATGAACACAGTGTGGGAGATGTCAACATGAAACTCTCCTTTTTTGGAGCTCTTGGTTCATTCTCTTTATTCACTTTTGAATGAACTATGATGTTTAACAAGAAGAGGAAGAGAGCTGGTTTAAAAATGATAAGGTGCAAACAATTAACTGCCCTCCAATGTCTGTTTAGTGAATTCAGAAATTATAAGTATTATAGTACCTGGCTTGATGAAGGGATACATTTCTGACTTGGGACCTTATGAAACATTATGCAGTGTTTTGGGCTGATCACCAAAAATGAATACTACAACAAATAGTGAGAGGACCATGAATGTATACTTGAAAATCCATTTGACCTATTAACATGTTATCACTATAATTAAAAGTAGCAGTGTACTTGGTGAATTTGTGGAACACTGTCCTGACAATGAAGAAAGGAGCCTGGAATGCTTGTGATTTGAGAATCCTGATTGGCTGAAACAAAATATTAGGGCTAAAGCTGCAGTGTTTGACTTGTGATGATCTCTTTCTCTTACTCATCATTTCTTCTCTCTTCTCCTTACAGGTGACCCTGATCCCCACTCATGACACAGAGGTGACCCGGGAGTGGTATCAGCAGACCCATGAAAAACAGCAAGAGCTCAACATCATGGTGCTGGCGAGTAGCAGCACAGTGGTAATGCAGGATGAGTCTTTCCCAGCCTGCAAGATTGAGTTCTGAGTCCTGTGGGTGCAGTGTCTCTCTGTCTTTCTCCTTGTCTCATTTTCACCCCCTGTCCCGCTTTTGTCTCTGGGGCCTTCATCATAGACAAGTGACAGGGATTTATTTCTGCCTTCTTCTGCTCATTCCTCAACATTATAACACATCCAGGGAATCTCCTTCTTGTTCAGACCTCTTAACCACAAATCAGATTCCCAGTGCTTGCTACCTTTCGGTCTTGGGAGACTGAGCGATCACAGATCAAGGACATTAAGAGGATTCAACCTTTCTCTTTGCTTATACTGAATAAACGTACACACAAACTCCAAATAAGGGTACACACACGCGTGTGTACACACCAAGTTTGAGCCTGTCACACACGTTGCAGAAGTTTCACTTTGTGAACACATCAGGTGCGGCCAGCACATTGAGAACCATTAATTCAAATAATACAGTACATTTAAGCACTTAAATAAACAAACACCTCCTCTCAGACTACAGCAAGGGGTTTTACAAAACTTACCACACTCTGAAACAGAATAATGCTTGGAAAACAACAGGCTCCCACTTGGTGCAGGTTTTCATACACTCCTGTCTATGTGAATTAATTGCTCCCTTCATAGAATCATTAACCCAAAGCCCACTGTGTCTGTCTTTACCCACGGGGTAACTGGGACATTGGACTAATTCAAATCTACCACCCTTCCAGCAAATCTTTACAAAAACGATTTGACGAAATTAAAGCACAAGCAGATGTTTTGTTAGTGTTCAGTATACAGGTGATAGACCCCATATCTCCATCCCTAGGGACTCTGCTAATGGCCAAGCATGCCTCAAGCTTTCTTCTGTGTGATCATTGGCTGTTCTTGTCACCCCATGGATTCAGACAATTCCCACTAGCCATAAAGACAAGACACTATGGAAACCCTGTACTGGTGCAGGACATTTGAGTTTGAACTCATGTCAGCACTGGTAATTCTTAAACCTCCTCTGTGCCATCTCTGAAACTTTTACTTGAGTTTGCCCAGCCTTGCTGATAAATTCAGTGCCTACTAGTAAATGGCACATAGCCTGCAGAATTTAGATGGGAAAATTTAAGCCTTTAGGCTTTTATTTTTTAAAGCGTTTTGATTTAATTCATTATTTTATTCAATAGCATCAGGACTGACAAAGGCATATTAAAATGCAATGAAATGTGCTAGGGCGGTTATTTCAATGAGATTCTTTAACTGTTCAGATGAGCCGAGATAGTGTGCAGAGTTGCACAAAAGAAAATAGTTACAGCTAATGAGCTCTTCATGTCCTGTTTCCTATTTTCAGTACCTGGCTTGGCACTGACAAATGGACTATGTGAGCAGCAAAAGTCCCCCCTGTTCCTGAGAGTATGAGGAAACACCCTAAGCTCTTGCAGTGTATAATATTTATGTTTAGAAAGAAATGTGCTCAACAATTTCAGAAGTACAGGGTATCAAGTACACGAGCAGAACAGTGACCCTGCCCCATTCTGCAGAATTTGATTTCTTTCTGACAGAGTGAATGCCAGTCTTTCACAAAATGCCACCGTCACAATGCATTTGTTGAAAGAAGACTTTTTCTCTGCTTCATGCCAGGGTGTGGAGCAAACGAAGGACATTAGGGACAGATGAAGCTTCTAGCTAACGCAGAGCAAACTCCCAAATATCATTCATTAGGACAGAACCTGCATTTTTTTTTGGTGACCTGTATTTTTTAAAAGCTTACGCAGAGAAGTAAAAAAAAAAAAGTTTAATAAACAGTTCAGTATTCATAAGCTGGAAAAACAAAACTCAGCAATCTGGGCTGACAAACAGAACCTAATTGAAAAACTGCGGCTTTGACACTTCATTTCTCAGCTTACTGGAGGTAAAATTGTTTGCAATCAACTAGAAGTACTCTTTCTGAAGTTTAATGCTGAAAAATATTTCATGGACTACATCTGGTCATTATTTACCCAGAGAGGGGAGTTTATAATTTGTCTTATAATAAATATATAGTTTGCATAGTAACGAGGATACTTTATTCTTGCAGGGGATTTCTATGTGATAGTAGGAAATGGCGCTTTTCTGATCTCTGTTCAGTTCTTGTCATTGTCTTATGTATTGTATTTTAGTGAACATATAAATATATATAAATATATTAGAAGTATAATAATGACTGTAGTGGAGTAATAATGAAAGGTTGAACCCTTTAGAAATCTTATACCTTAGCTTACCAAGGGGTCAGGAGTTGCCTGTATAGCTGCTTTAATTCTGTCCTCTTCTGTACATTTCTCCTGTTTTTCAATCAATGGATTTAAACTCCTGTTTGGGCTTGTTAGTTGGAGACTGTCAGGCTGTGTTAAAATAGACAGGTGCAGCTGGTGTTATATATATAAATATATATATACATATAAAAAAAGGAAAAACAAAAAGAATCAAAAAAAGTTTTTAAAATGCTGCTGTAGCCAACTAATCTAAAACGAATTAAGTTAACCTCTGTTCTTTTTATTTTCACTTTAAATTTTACCCAAGAAAACTCTGTTTCAGAAACACTGGAAATATATATATATATCCAAGGAGTAATACATTAGTTTAATTTTAATAATTCATATTTTACACAATTATTCCCTAATTTATTCTGGGCAATCTATGTTCTTTTTTGACATTATTTTCTATGAGATTTGGCTTATGCACTTGCCAATGCTGCAAATGTAGCAATAGAAACTGTTTGTCATTCAGTGGGTGTGCTCTGAAGCTTGACTGAATTGTGTGACTCCAGTTAAAAAGAGGTCTGGGATAGACTCTGCGATTGAGTTCCTGTACTAACAGTGAGGGAGAGTACGAGTATGTTCCCACAGTGAGGATGGGAAGGTGTGATCGTCATCCACATGTGCCTTGAGGCTCTAAGTCAGAGGTTGAATTTGAAGTGTCTGGTTCACAGGGAGCCCCTTTCACTGATACTAGGCAGGCAGGTCTAGTATAGATAGCAGCGAGAGGGGTCTGCAGAGCCAGAGGTCAGGGAGGAAATTTTAGAGGTCACATCAAGGGCATAAAAAAGCACCAAGAGGGAATGCATCTTTTTGTTATATTTAGTAATTTACTGTAGGTGACTGAATACTATAAACTATTGATGTAGAAAGAGAAAAAAGATATCAGAAGCTCCTAAGTGAAGAGGATGCAAATGATCATTTTTAAACATGCAAACCAACAAATGCTCATGACAATGGAATATGTTTTACAATTGTGAGATTTTTGCGAACATTCAAAGTGTGAACAAAAACATGTTCTTAGTACTTTTGCCTGTAAAATATACTTATAATCACCCTTTAAACCTCTGAGAATGTGGTGGAATCTTTCAAAATTTGTGTTGAAAGCATTTTCATCCCTCTACAAGCTTTTTGTTTTAAAACAAATTAATTTCACTGGGTGGGTCTTCTTTATAAAAGCAGTGAACTTTCAAAGGATTAAGGTTTCAAAAAAATCTGCATATAAAATCTGACCATTATATAGTGGTCATTTAAGTTGGAGGGCATGGAAGTTTTGGGGAGGGGGATAGCTATTTTAAGTGCCCAGAATAGGGTTTATTATCCTTTAAACTCCAAACTCTTCCAGTTGGGACCATTGATAAAATATCTTTTTTGATATCTTTTTTGGAATTCTGGGCTTGTTGCTTGTAGATGATTTTTAACAAAGTGTTATATATTTAATTCTTTTGTTTGCAGTCTAATATTTTTTTTTTCATATTTATTTTTTGTTGTTGTAAAAGTTGCTTTTTATTGACAGTATTGTCTAATTTAAAAAAAATATTATTTTTTTTTTTCCACGATTGTGATTGTTTTTTAAGTGCCCTAGTTGGGATAGCACTAATCAGAGGTGACTCGTGTTGTTTACATTTCTTTTACATTGAGGAGTTTAGGGAGTATTGGAATGACAGACAGGAGCCTCGTTGAAAGAAGAGTGTGTTTTTTACAGTATACGTGCCGTTTGTGTCAAGTGATATGAAGGTATGCTCTTTCAAATGCTGCATAATATTTAGCGAACAAAAAGATTGTTGGGGAATCAGGGAGCACATCTGGCAGCTTTGACAGTGTCTACTGGGGTCCGCGTCACTGTGAGAGCCAAGCAGCAGGACAGAAGAGAGCTCTTCCTGAACTCTGCTTGATCAATTACTAGTTGTTTTGTGCAGAATTTATCTAATTGTGGGCCAGCATCGGGTTTACTAGGGCTTTCCTCTTTTTGTTTTATGAGTCACGGGAATTAGCCAAGGCAAAACCAGGGTGGTTATCCCGCAATACCTATAGGGATTTAGCCAGGATTAGCAATCTTGTTCCTGTATGGAATCGTGCCAATAGTACAAATTTTCTTCAAAACCCAGAGCAAACAGAGTAGCACTAGTAACTAGAAAAACTAGCTGCTGTCCAGTAAACTACCTGACTCAGCACAGTCAGCCCTCAAATTGGGTAGCTCTACAGTAGGACCAGCCAACAAAGGAGGTTGAATTCATTATTTTGCTCATTCTTGCTCCTTGTGTAAAATGTACAGTGCTAGCTTTTCCGTGCATGCTGTTTATAGTTAAGGAAAACATAACATAGCTGTACAATACCCAGAACAAAGCTGTGATGTAGACAAAGTCTTTACAGCCACTACAAAATAGGAGCTATCCATGCTTGAGGGTGCTGCTATTTCTGTGCTGTTTATTTTTTATTTTTTAGATACATATTAAATAGCTCTCCACGCACAAAAAGGGGCTCTGTGGGAGGGGCATTGAGGGTGGTGTAGGCATTGCTATTGTGGAGACCCAGAAGATAATGGTTTTGGGGCCTAACTATGATGTTGAGTAAATATATCTCAGCAAGACTCTGTAGCCTTTCAAGGTTATTTTGGGCTGCTGGCCTTTTGACCCCTCATTGTGTCTGCAGTCATTTCCAAGTATCTTGAAAGCTGGAAATCATGTTTTTTCTCCCCCTGTCTTCGACAGCAGAGTCCGGTTTTATAGTACAAACATTAGTTACATTGAACTGAGACATTTGTTTTAGAGCACTAAAATAGTCTGCTGTTTTGATTTGTCTTCTGTCTGTTTCATGTCTCTCGAGATGCTAGTTCTGTTGTGATTTAGCCAGTTTTCGACATCTCTACAACCTGTCCATAGCAGCAGGCACCCAGAGGCCTTAGCAGTCAGCTATGGGTGCCTGAATGGAACAAACATGTCAGCCAGTTCTCGAGGTAATAAAATCAGAACAAAAATAACAACTGAGAACTTAAATCTTGCCTAGTTTCAGAAGTGAATGCACTAACTTGAAAAAATAAACATTTTGAATGTCTTTGTAGAGTTTGCTTAACTCTAAAAGCTGCTTTGACTTTAGAAATAAAATAACGGAACAAAAAAACTAAAAAAAAATATCTTGATGAAAGGAAGAACAGATAATATAAGAAAGTGTGAAAGAATGTGATTTACAATACTCAGTGCTCTTGCTGTCTGTGTGCAGATGCAATTTACTTTGTACTGTTGTCTGTTTATATACTTGAGGATAGGCAAGATCCATATTCAAGAGGAGATTTACAAAGGAAAAAGATTTCTGTCTTTTTCCCATAAAAATGCAATGAAAAAAACACTAGGGGTGTTCACTGGGACTGCAGATTTTCACCTACTTGAATCAGACTTCCAACAGATTCAAAAGACTTAACACAACTCTACATACAGTATGCTCACAAAATACAAACCTGACTGCCAGACTGGGCGATTTGATTGCTCTAGTTTTAAAAAAAAAGACAGCTTTCATTTTTATCCAATTTTATCTTGGAAGTGATGCATTTTTCAGGAAAAGAAAGAGTCAAATCTAAAAAAAATGATGCCGAAAAACCTGCTGTGCAAAATGCAGGACTTCGGCCTCGGCTGCATCTTCCCAACTCTCTCCCGAAAATCATCATCAGACAAAACATACAGATCATTTAAATAAGCCTTGCTTGTTTCTGCATGTGATCTCTTATCGGTTATAATCCTGTATGTAATAGTTTAAAAGGAAATTAAACATAAATGCTATTTTAAAAAACAAAATCTATGAAAAAAAAAGCAAATTGTCTTAATGGTACTGAAATGGCAGATGTTACCTGGCCGCGCTGCTCTTTTCGCCGTGGGGTGTTGTAAAGAAGGCGCTGTGATAGTTCTTCTTTTTTTGCGCTGTATTAATCTTTTAGTTCCTCAGATATTTTGTGTGCAATATTCTGTCTCTCTCTTTAAATCTAAAAATAAAAAAATAGAACTACTGCAAATTTATTGTAAAACGGAAACAGCCTGGTGATCACCAATAAAATACATTTATTGAAAGTCACCCAGCACTCTTCTGTGTCTTTATTTGTTTCCTACGGTGTGAAATGTAAGCTATTCTGGTGCTGGCAGACCTGCTTCTCAGAACCCACCAAGCAGGACACGCCCCAAGGGACTCGTGTTCTTGACACATTTGGAACACAAGTACACGAGGAAGCAAGCTGTCTGTCCCATTTTGGACACGCATTTTGGCCCTTGCTTATTAACCCAAGAAAGCCGCTCCTGAAGCATTCACACTTTTGAATAATGGCTAATCTACAGCACATGTGGGATCACTAAATCTTTGGAAGATGTATTTTGAAAGCATCACAATCATTTGAGCTCGTATTGCTCCCTTCTTTTTTATGGAGTGGCATTGTAATTATGCATAGAAAACACACATTGTACTGTGGTTTACTCATAGTCAGGTTTCGTGTGGATACAGTTTACTAAATATAACTCCATGCTGGGAAAGGGATGATGCAGAGACGTTGGCCCTTTGCATCTCATTCATAAATACTAAGGGATGAAATGGGAGCTGATGTAATGCTAAGAAAATGAAAGAACGGATGAACCCTAATTAATCTCCAGTTGCGTTTGAAAGGAGGACCATGGTTTTGAACAATGTACAGATTGTGCTGCCAACTTGCTATCCCTCTGCTGAGGGTATAAGTCTGTATGATCAGTTGGTGTTGTTGGGAGGTGGTAGGGGTATACAATACTCACACTTTTGTAATTCAAATAGGCATCGTTAACATGAGGAAAATGTGAAAGGGGAGGGCAGGAGGGGCACTTGCATACTGTTTATACACACTCGAAGGAATTCTGCTGGTTTTGTTTTGAACGTGAACTGAAATTTTTCACATTTCTGCATAGGCAGGGACAGGGAAGTGTAGGAGGGTTACAATGAGAGGGAGAGGGAGAGGGAGAGGGAAAGAGAGAGTACTGTTTGTGCAGACAGTGAAAGGAAGAATTCAGCTCTGTAAACAACCAGCCCTTCAGAACCCAGGAAAGTGAGACTGGAAGCATACTCTGATCTGGGCCAGTGTGAATGCAGTCATGCTGTTAATGGACCACATTTCCATTTGTACAGTTAAAAAATTCCAAATTGTTTCCAATTCAATTTTTTCATTTTGTTCAGAGTTAAACCAACAGCTACAACATGTTAATGAAAAAGGGAGACAATGAGTAATACGTAAGATATTGACACAACACATCTCTGGTCTAACCCACTTGATACAGGACATCTATTAGTGAAATCAAATAATTATTGTTTTCTCTTTCCATCTGTGGGTCTAGAAAGAATAAATTTGGTGGGAAATAGAGAGCTGGTATCAGCCACCTGTCCCAGTGAGTGTATAGTACTTTTCAAATAAGTATAATGTATTTCATTCCAACAATAACCAATTTTTGGACCTACAAAGCTCCTTCAAGTCCCATCAATTACATTGCTTGGTACATGCTGTCAGGTCAATATCAAGAGCTGTTCTTCATTGAGGAGGTAGTGTGAGGAGGTACGTTTTTGTCCTTTTTCATTGTTTTATGGTGAATATGAAGACCATGCCTTCCAGATTTAGTTTCCAATTCCACTAAGTTTTTGGCTGCAGGCTAACAGACTCCCTCATTTACGGAAGTACTGTATCATTTCAGGGGGCCAAGAGTAATGACAAAACATTTGGCAAGTGCTTATTATGGCAAGTGAAACTTATTCTCTAATTAATTTCAAACCTCAAATATTTCCTGGAGGCAGTGCCCAGCTTGATGCATTCACATTGAACAAATAAAATCGACGTGTGGAAAATCTTTGAATATGTAGCAAAATTGTACGTTCTTGAGTGTAATATAAAAAAACAACAGGAACAAAGAAAAGAAATTAACAACTGCATTCCAGCCCAGAGGGTATACTAGGGGACTTGGTTTATTCAGATCTACTGCTATTTTATTTCACGCCTGGTTACAATCAATGTGATCGTCACTGCTGTGCAGCTAGGAAGAAAAAAAAACCTTTCACTGTTTTTTTTTTAAATAAACTGCCTTTAGTATTTGCACAACAAGTGAAGTATTGAGGCAAGCACAATCCCCGCTTTCAGGGACTGGCGATTGAGCTGCGAGGTGCTGAATGCCAGCCTGGCGCAGGCTGAATGCCCAGGAGGATGACATCATGGAGTGAGTCACATGGGCTTTTTAGTGTGGAGGAGACAGATGTTGCTGGAGTAGATTTTTCAATTTTCTTTCTTTTCTTGGAACTTTTTTTGGTTTGTTTCACAAAGGACTGGGGGGGGGTAAGAATGGGTCTCTTGTGTCGTTTTAAGGCCGGGCTGTGCTGGTAGGGAAGGAGGTGTGGGATGAGGGCAGTGGGGGGTAGTGTTTGAGATACAAACACTGTGCCCAGAAGAGCAAATCTATTCCAGACTTGCTACTACACACTCGCTACAACACACAGGGCATGTGCACAAATGACAGGCACTTCCTTTGGTAACAAGAGCAGTTATCTTACAACCCAGTAAAAGTAGTGTTTTCTTGATAGTTTATATCTGTTATTAACAAATAATATCCTGTTAATTAGTCCTTTTGTCACTATAATTTACACTTCACATAAAACCAGTACTATTTCAGTATAACTTCAATGGTTTCAATATTGCTCGGGAAGGGACATTCTAGTTATCGTTGAATAGGCCAGTTTGTAAAGCTACAGAACTAAAGTGATGTCACTCAGGGAGGTATTGCTGTCACTTGTCTGTACAAAGCAAATATCTGAGTGTACTCAGCAGTGGTAGTGTTTTATCTTCAAGGAACTGCATTGGTTGAGAATAAAAGGATTATAAACACTTTTACAATTCTGTTGTTTAGCAATCCTATTTTGATTTCTCCATTCTGTACATAAATAAATGATTAAATGACATTTAAATAGCCTTTGTGTTCTGCCAGTACTTGCTGGCTTTTATGGGCCTTTTTCACTCGTGTTTGACTTGACTTTGGATAGCAAACAGAAGCAATAAGAGGCATTTTTTCAGTCAGTTGGCATCAGATCAAAGTAATTAAAATAAAACTTAAAACTTAAACTAGAAAGGAAAAGGCATGGGTGAAGGGCGTGTAGAAAACAGGGCAGACTCAAAACCTCACTCAAAGGTACAAAGCCCTTTTTAAATGATAAATAAGCCCAACCCACAAGTTAGAAAAATAATGGCACTATCCAGTTTGTCCACAACACCTCTATGCTTAATATTAACATCCTGTCAGCCTCAAGTTGTGCATTGTGCACAAGGTCTTATTCAGATACAATGTGTTTGCGGGACTCTATTTCAAGCTTTTTTGTTGGGGCAAGCATATATTATTTCTATGTTAAGGCAATGCACTTTAATAAAGGTAAACTCTCTGGTTTGTCCTTGGTAATCTGTAAAGCCCAAGGCACCAATTATAGAACAAGAGTAGAAACACCAATTAACCTAGGCAACAACCTGTCTTGTCTTTAGACTGAGGGGAAATCGGAACACCCAGACAAAACTCCTGCAGCAGGGTTTTCAGGAAAAACATGAAAACACAATGCAGAAGGAACCCCTGGCCAATCTGAACCCTGGATTGAAGAGCTGTGAGACAGCTGTTCAGTCACAACACCAAAAGCAGCCCCAATTCAATCATCATTATTACTGTCATCTATTAATTAAACATCATAATGGTTAGTAAACACAACATTTCATCTGTGGAGTCTTCTTCAGACTGAAAGGTTGCGTTTATTTTCGTTGCCTTTCAGCATGGAATGAACCTTTACCTTTTCCTTTGCAGCCTACTCATATTGACACAGCTACCTACTGTACTCAAACGTCATCACAATGATTTGACAACTTTATGTCTACTTTATATTTTCTGATGGCATGTGTTTATGCCGTACTTTACCCATAGTAGCTCAAGTTCTCATCAGTATCACTGGTGGTAACCATGGGAGCTGCCAAAGAGACTGAAGAAATACTTAGAATCTTCTAGAATATTTGGAGACACTGTAGTGTATTTCAACAGGAGCCGTTAAGGTTTATCTTATGAATACAAGATGCCAATACCTTATGCCAGACTAGTAACTACTAGAATGATCAGATTGTGTGCATGAATTTTATCAGTGTTTCCAAACTTGATTTTATTTTCCACCTAGACTTTATACCTCTGTGCTTGTTTGACAGTAAACACTATATCTCATAGTTGCTAAGGGCAGGTATGGTTTGCATTTGACTTTGTCGGAAGTCTTACTACTTGCATTGTGTGCATTATTATATTCTGATATTAATAACTTGCCTTTACCGACAGTAACTGGTGCTGCACTGACTTTTCTTAGAAATCCAGCAGCTCCTCTGCCCTGCTGCTTGATGCACAAGGAATCCAGCACAGATTTTCCTGTAATCTTGCCTCAGTCTTCTTTCCGAGAAAGGGGGTCACTGAGTTGGACAGCATCAACAGCTCTCTGACAGAAGTGGGGGGTCTTTCATCTCCCCTATTTCTGCTGATACTCTCCCATTGACAGCTCCAGGCAATTGAATTGAAAGGAGAAATTTTATTGCTTCCTCTGCAGTTTCAGGAACAGGTTGATAACCCTGCAGGGGGCTCTTTTCTACCAGGTCCTCTTAGTTGAGTAATGAGGGGGCTAGGCAGGAGTGGGAAACTTCATAATTACCTATGATTAGTCTTTCAGTCTCAGAAGAGAAAATGCGCTTTTTGACCATACTGACATACAGTATGGTCAATTTTTTCTACCCTTGCAGTGAAAGCCTTTGAACACTACACACAGAAGCACCAAGCTAAATATCAAATTCTCACATACCATACTGCAGGTTTTTATATTCATTGGGTGGTTTAAATGCATTTAGCAGTTCACATTTGAATTAAAGAGTACATTGGTTGGCTTAACTTGATTAATGGATCAGTTCATATTACCTGTGAAACTGTTGTTACATCATTTTTTTTTATTTCCCTAATTTTGGGCAAAAACAGTAGTTCAGACATCAAAACAAAAAACACAGAAAACATACACAAGCAGTC